AGGAGGAGCGGGCGGGAAGTGGATACCACACTTCTCTTTTTCAAAACGAGTACCCAACACAAGGAGGGTTGGGAAACAATATTCATATTTGCGGTATTCACAACTCATATGGTTGGGTCCTTCGCCTTGCTAATTGATTTTACTAAGGTTTTGGCCATTTTGGCCTCCTGTGGGGGGAGCCCTGATTAAAGCTCCCCTCTTGTTTGATCGATCTCCTCCAAGATGGCCCCAAGAAGCGCCCAGGAGTCCCCAACAGGTCCCAAAATGGCCCGAAGATGGCCCCAAGAGGCCCCCGGGAGGCCCCCCAAAAGATCCCACGCGGCCCAAAGTGGCCCCCCCCCGAGGCACCCAAGACGCCGAAGAGCCCCCCACGACCGCCTAGAGATCCCCAAGGCGTCCCAAGACGCCCAAGAGATCCCCAAGAGGCTCCGAGAAGCATCCAAAAGACCTCTGGCCCTTTTGCTTGCTCTCCTCCTCCTTCCTCTTCCCCCTCCGCCTCCTCCTCCTCCTCCTCATCCTCTTCATCCTCCGTCTCCCCACTCCCTCATCCATCCATCCAATTTTCTCCTTCGCCCCCTCTCTCCTTCACACGGTTCGGCCGTCCCCATCTTTGCTCCCGCACTTCCCTGATCATCTGGTCATCAAGATACTCTGGTCGCTGAGCAGATCGGCCGACGTCAAGCCCTTGCTGGTCCCATTGGTCACCCAGGAAATCCCACCAACCCTTTAGGCGTGCGTGGTTGAAGAACTTTCTTGTTCCAACCCGTCCTTCCCTTTCGGGGCGGGGTTTTCAGTGTTCACAATTTACGAACACCTCTTCCCCCAGGCGACAGGCAGCCAACCAAGACCAATGCGACCCCCCCAAGCATCCCTGTCAAACAACACACATCTTGTGTCATGCTCGTGGGCCTCGTGAACACTTAAGTGTATTGATTTTTGGCCGGTGTAGCGGGGGTGCCCTCATATTGAGCGCTCTGCGCAAGACCATTATCATTGTCAACAGACCAATACAACATGCACTTCGAGGCTAAATGTGGATCATGCGCGACCACCCCGCGATCCATTTCCACTGGTGGGGTACTCGAATGTTGCCTGCTGTGTGCAGGCCCACCAAACACAATGATGGCCTTCCCGCTGCAAGTGTGCACTTGTTTTCGGCAAGGACGGTGGGGACTCACAAGTTTCTCGATGTGTGCTGTCACGTGCGCGGGCGCACCTGGCACGCTCTGCGAATGGCCGGCCTGGACGTGGCGCACCTGGCGCAGTTGGGCCATGCGGCAAACATTGCGCATGTGGGGCACGTGGCGCATCTGGCGCGCGAGACGTGCCTGGCACGCTTGGGCCCCAGGGGTGCCTGACGCACGTGGCGCACCTCGCCCCATCGCGCACGTGTGGTATTGATTCCCACTTGCTGCCCATCCATCGGCGACCGCGGAACGTGCTGAGGCCCGGGTGTTAGTTCTGTGTTGGGAGGGCGGGTGGGGGTGAGCGAGACAGCTTGCGGGCGGGGAGGGTGTTTTAACCCCTCCCCCGACCACCTTCCCGTGGACCTGGAAAAAGCGTTTCGCGAGGGGTCGGGGCGTCCACGATTGCCCCGGCCACATCACTCTGATGCTGTGAAGGTTTTGGCCACATTTTGACCTCCGAAGGAGCTCACCGCTTTTGGTCGGTCTCCTTCAAGTGGCCGCGAGATGGCCCACGAGCTTCCAAGGGTGCCCCAAGATGGCCCCAAGAGGTGCCCAGGAGGCGCCAAGAGCCCCAAGACGTCCTCCAAAGGCACCCAAGACGCCCTGAGGGGCCTCGGCGAGAAGGGACGAATCATTGATTCGATCTACAAGTTTTGGCCACGTCTTGTTCTCTTGTGGGGGGAGCCTGATTAAGGCCCCCCCCTCCCTCGATCGATCTCCACCAGTGTCCAGGAGGCCCCAGGGGGCCCTGCAGAGGCCCCCGAGATGCTCCCAAGAGGCCCTCGAGAGGCCCCAAGGGCCCCCCCCAGCGACACCCAAGACGTCCCAAGTTGCCTCGGCGAGAGGACCAGCATCATTGATGTATCACCCCGCAGTTGCGGACAAAAATGAAGAAGCGGGCGCGGGTGGATCGAGGGTGGGTCGCGGGCGGGTCGCGGGACAACAACGCAATGTAACGCAACGCAACAACAATCCGCACCGCGGACCCTTACTTCAGCCACGCAACCAATGGACAATACATGACCGCTCGGACCCCTCACTCTGATTTTTATTATGGTTTCGCCTCACTTTGGCCTCCTGGGGGGGACCCCACTGTACTATGGCCTCTCTTTTGATAGATCTTCCAAGATGGCCCCCGAAGCTCCCAAGGGTGCCCCAAGACGGCTCCGAGAGGTGCCCAGGAGGCCCGAAAAGGTCCTCAAGAGGCACGCCAAGATGCCCCCAAGAGGCCACCAAGAGACACCCAAGGGGCCCCAACAAACTCCCCAGAGACACCCAAGAGGCCCCTGGGACTGCCACAAGACCCCCAAACCACCACACGAAGACTCCAAGAAACTCTCGGAAGACATCCGAAGAAACTCCGAAAAGCCTCTTTTTCCTCACCCGCCTGGTCCTTACCCTTCCTCCCCCCCTGCCCCTCTCCCTACTCCGCCTTTTCCTCCCCCTCCTTCTCGGATTTCTCTTCCATCGCCCCCTTGTGGAGCATGACGTCCTGCCCAACCCTTTAGTCCGCTGCATGCCCCCCCACAGTTCTGATCAGACCAACTCGTCTGGGCATCGTTTCTGGATGGGCTGCTGGGATTACGCGAAACGTCTAGACTTAATTCTCCATTGGCCTCCCCCATGCGGATGACCCCCAGGCCGCCGAGATGGCAAATATTGCCTCCAAGACGGCCAGTCTGGCTCCAAAAGGACTCACATTGGCTGCAATATGTTTCCATTGCGGCTCAAGATGCACCCACGACTGCTTAAGTTGGCGCCAGGATGGCTCAGGACGGCTAACCTCCAAGAAGCCCTCCAATAATGCCAGAAAAAACAACAACTCATTGATCCCCTTTATGTGTTGAACGGATTTGTGCATTTGCTCCTTTTCGGCTTCCTGGCGGCCCACGACGCCCCCGAGATCGCCCGATAGGCATCGAACATAACCCCATGATGGCCCAAGAGGCCCCCAAAATGGCTCAGGCCCCCAAAACGGCCCAAGATGCCTCCAATACGCCCAAGAAGGCCTCCACGACGGCCCTGAAACATCCAAGAGGGCCCCAAGTAGGCCCAGGGACGCCCAAAAGACGGCTTCCGACGAGCCATGAATGCACTTAGACGCCCAAGGAGCCCCCGAAAGGCACCAGGCACCCAAGAGGCCCGAGGAAGCCCCCAAGAGGCCTCCAATAAGCTCCCAGGAAACTCCAAGAGGCTCCAAGAGTGCCCAAAGAGGCTCCCTCCTCGTCCTCCATCTCCTCCTCTTCTTCTTTCTCCCCCACGTGTTTCCCCGAAGGATTTCCACAATGCCAGGGGCAACGCGTAGTCCAATAGCTTGGCCGAGCTCTGGCCGCAACATTAGGCCACACGGGCGCTTCCCAAAGGCAGCGGGCGGCGGTGATTCGCCTTGGGCGTCCTCGATACATCTATATCTATACATACAAATACACACATGTACATTGTAAAACCCAACATCTATCACGCACACCAGTGTGATACATTACGGAAACGGACACGCTGGCGATGGAAGACCAATGACAACAAGTACATCTGGAACGGATGCCACACGGTCATATTTACGTGCCATTACGAAGCCATTACCTGTATATCCGGTTACTTGTCGGGTACACCTGTAGTAGTGTTAGAGACCGGTGGTATATGTTATCACAAGACGAGCACCGAATATGCCGGAGATGATTACTTGTACATTCGGATTGCTGGCGCGCTGCTATTCGGATTACCCGTGGTTCCCTTGGGGGATTCGAATGTCCATTGCCGGTGACTTCATGTTCCGCACAACCCAGCACAGAGAAGTAGCAACATCGCAAAACTTGCAATTGTGCCCTAGCGACGAAAGCAACACTGCTGGTACCGTGAATCGTGAATCCCACTCAGCTCGCCTTTTGGATGGAGGTTAGCGCGGGTGCGTGGAGCGTCACATCGTATCAACCGATCACCTGAAGGAGCTTCAAATCCTTCAGTCTTGCACTATGTAGGAAAGAGAACGGGCGACACATGCCGTGCTTTGAGCAATGGCTTCGCGCTATGCGTCGTGTCTTGATTAGCCCCGTTGCCTGGGCCCAGACTATACTATAGCTGGCCGTCTGGTTCCATTCGGAATGCTCTAAGGTCTTCATATTCGTAGACAGAACAAGTGGAGCCGCTGCCTATCTGATCCCACCGCGGAGTCGTTCGAGTTCGCCTCCCGCGCATAGCGGACGGCCAGAGCTTCGTTTCGGGTCCCTCCGAGCACAGCTTGGCGGCGGTCTCGGCCTCGGGGCACCAACCAATGCAATTACTCTTGTCCGTTTCAACCCCCCTGCCCTTCCCCTCCACCCTCATTTCCTGACCCCGTCCCTCCGCCCACAAATTTCTGAAGCCATCACTGTGTGCGCCATGCTGCAACGAAAAGCCCTCGAGCTTGATACAGACGTTGCTGTGACATTGTGGTGCTCGCACGCCAACTACTGCAAAACGACGGGCAACGCTGACGAAGAGGAGGAGGACTTTGAGGAGGATGAGGGTATTTCTTATACTAATGATGATTTCCTCTACCGTTGGTGCTGAGCCTGTCCACGTGCTTATTGCCGATGCTTTCCCTGCCATCTTGTGATTGCTGTTGCTAGAGGTGCTGCCATCGTGCTGCTGTCTGTCAGCCGCCGCCTCCAGAGAGGAATCCCATGCTGCCGCGCACCATGGGCGCAACTGTTCTTGCTGGCCTCGCTCCTGCCGCCGCCCGCCACCCTTGGCCCGCTGGAGCGGCACCACCGAGGATGAGAAGACAGACGGCCTGCTGACGACAGTGGTGATGATTGTTCTGCCCCCGGGAGCGCGTCACAGGAGGCGGCCGCCATGTCCGCGTGCAGAAGCCCAGACCTGCGATGCCCTGATTTTTCGATGCGGGGCCACCGGGCCTCTCGACCGCCCTTCCCTGGGGGACCGTTTCCAGGATCATTCTTCTTGAAGGCCCCGCGGGCCCGAAGCGGGTGCAGAGGGGCGGAGTGGAAGAGGAACACGAAAACGCAGAGGCATCGAAACACCACGACGTCGGAGGTCGAGGGAGGCGGCGCCAAAGGCCGAGATGCCCCGAGGCCTGCGCAGCCTGCGGAAGCCGGGCGCTGTCAGAGGTGGCCCCTGGCTCAGGGTGCCCCCCAGGCTTTCCGAGGAGGCCACCACCCTGGTCTCCAGGGCATCCCTCACGAGTCCCCTCCTCCTCCTCCTCCTCCTCCTCCTCCTCCTCCTTCGCCTCCTCCTCCTCCTCCTCCTCCTCCTCCGCCTCCTCCTCCTCCTCCTCCTCCTCCTCTGCCTCCTCCTCCTCTTCTTCCTCCGCCCCAGGAGGGCATAGGGGGCCTCGAAGATGGAGCGACGAGCGGGCGGCACTTTGGACCAGGGACATCCTTAGCAGCCCCCGAGGAAGCTCTCTCTGCCCCTCGGGGCGGAGGCCGGCGTCAGCGGCGGCTCGCCAGCGGCGGCTCCAGGGCCGACCTGGAGTGCCGCCAGGCCGTCGGGCGTCGCCGTGCCGTCGGCCCGAAGTTCTGGAGGGCAGACTGCCTGGTCACGAGGAGGAGGAGGAGGAGGAGGAGGAGGAGGAGGAGGAGGAGGAGGAGGAGGAGGAGGAGGAGGAGGAGGAGAAGGAGAAGAGGAAGAGGAGGAGGAGGAGGAGGGAGAGAGGAGGAGGAGGAGGAGGAGGAGGAGGAGGAGGAGGAGAAAAGTGAGAGTAGAAGGAGGAGAGGAGGAGGAGGAGGAGGAGGAGGAGGAGGAGAAGGAAAAGGAGAAGGAGGAGGAGGAGGAGGAGGAGGAGGAGGAGGAGGAGGAGGAGGAGGAGGAGGGGGAGGAGGATGAGGAGAGGAGGGAGGAGGAGGAGGAGGAGGAGGAGGAGGAGGAGGCCTCTGGCGGCTGCCACAGCGGCTCGCTGCCGACGCCGTCGCCCTCGTCTTCGTCGTCCAGCAAGAGGACCGCCTGGGCGCCGGCGAAGAGGCACTCGGAGCCTTGGGGGGCGCCGCCAGGAGCAGGGGGGAGGAGGGAGGAGGATCAGGAGGAGGGTGGACTAGGATGGGGGGGTTGGAGGAATGGGAAGAGAGAAGGAAGAGGAGGACGAGGAGGAGGATGATGATGATGATGATGAGGAGGAGGAGGAGGAGGAGGACGAGTGTAAACCCAAGAACCATCAACGATGTTGAAATTCAACCTCCCTCCAAGCTCCCTCTTCATAGGCCCCTACAACGGTTCATTTCCATTGAGGGAACTGCCTCGTTGGAAGGTAACCGTTTGAAGATTCCGAAGCATACCAAAACATTGTTCTCGGAATTTCAACGCCACGTATCAACCTGACTGCTGCATTTCTTCAACTCAACATCGCGAACCAACATAAGTGTTGCACCCGCGTAATCCTGAATCCTTCCCAAACACAATGTTTGGTACGTTGATCATGGGAATCCGTGAAACTCTTGCGAATATTTAGAACAAATGTGCGCGGCGCTAAAGCGAGAGCCACATTTTGAAAACGACCTGCCCTCAATCTGCGAAATTCTTACAATTTTCTAAAACGAATGTGCGCGGCTCTAAGGCGAGAACCACATTTTGAAAACGACCCGCCCTCAATCCGTGAAGCTCTGGCAAATTTTTGAAACGAATATGCGCGGCGCTAACGCGAGAACCACATGTTGAAAGCAACCCGACCTTCATCCGTGAACATCTTTGCATTTTTACAGCAAATGTGCGCGGCGCTAAGACGAGAGCCACATTTTGAAAGCGACCCGCCCTCCATCTGTGAAACTGTTGTCACTTTTTGAGCTCCAGAGTCATAAATGGCGAGGACGTCTCAGGCGAAACACCCTAAAAGCTGGCCTCGGGGTGCGACAGGGAGGAGTTATCTATAAGGAGAAGGAACGGAGGAGGAGGAGGAGGAGGAGGAGGAGGAGAAGGAGGAGGAGGAGGAGAAGGAGGAGTAGGAAGAGGAGGACGAGGGAGGACGATCAGGAGGAGGGGGTGACGGGGTGAGCAGGAGCAGAAGCAGGAGCCGAGTCAGCCAGGTCGCACGAGCCGGGGGGGCCACGCCGATTCCCACCCACCCCTCCCATAGATCCTGAAAGACAATGGTGTCACAACTTGGCTTCGGGACTGGGACGCGTTTCCACCCGGCGATCGGGAGGCGCTCGCGTGCGGTCCAGCTTCCGACGACCTGACTATAGGAAATAATCGCGAGACGCAGGCATGCGGGACGGGAATTTCGGAAATTCCTTGCGCTTCGCTGCAGCGAGAGAACGATTTAGTCTTCACTCTGGTGGCCAAATTTCCGATGAGTGCGGCGAAGACGAATCATTCGACGCGCCGAAGCAGAACTGCCGCTTTCACGCAACAACTTCGAAATGCTGGGGCGAAAACAACATTTCGCCCGCGCACGCGGGCAGTGCCATTGCCGCTTTCACGCGATCCGTCCACCGAAACATGCGCCTCCCAGCGGTGGAACGCCATTTCTGGTCAACATGTGCACGGCACTTGGGCGAGAACGACTAACGACATGGGGCGTGACAAACATGCGCCGCGCCGAGGCGGGTACGCGAAATCTGCATGACGTCGGAGCGAAATCTTTTTGTCCGCGCGCGTCGACGAGCTTGTGAGCAAAAAATGTCTGCTGCGCTTCTGCGGGACTTCAACTTTAGAAACTCGCCTGGCGAAAGACCCAACCATATGCAATTGTTAGTACCGTAATTGTGAGTATCGTCTTCGGTGGAGTTCCGCATGGGGCGGCGAAGCGTGTGAGGGTATGTGCCGACATGGGCGAAGGGGACCGCGTGCGAACTGTACCACTGGGGCCTTCGGCGGAGACCCCCATGCGGCCATGAAACGTGTGAGGAGTGTGGCACAATGTGCCGCGGAGACACATGCGAACACTGCCTCTGGGGCCCTGGGTGGGGCTCCCTATGGGGCCAGGAAGCGTGGGAAGAGTGCGCCGTTGTGGGCGGGGGAGGCGCATGCAAGTACGGCCGCCGGGGCCTTGCTTGGAGTCCCCTTATGGGTCACGAAGCGTGCGAGGGGCGCGCCGCACTGGACGGGGGAGACGCGTGCAAACCCTGCCACTGATCGCCCTGGGTGGAGCTCCCGTGTGCGGCCATGGAGCGGGGGCGGGGGAAGCGCGGGCGAGCCCTGCCGCTGGGGCCTTTGGTTGAGGCTCTCGTGGGGCCAGCAGGCGGAGGGCCGAGGCAATGCTGCGAGAGAGGGGAGGGCAGCGGGAGGTGAGACACGGGTCGCTGTCTATTCAAAACGAAGGCCGAACACCACAATATGGCTGTGAACAACGAAGCGACGCCGAAGCGAGAACGACATTCCACTCTTTCGCCCAGGATGTGCGCGCCGCGCGTTTTACAACGTCGAGTCGACGCCAACGCGACGATGTTGAGAAGGAACATGCAAACTTTGTATTATTTTGAAAAGAAATATGGAACGTCCCGGATTGAACGGGAATCGACCGGCTCTATGAATGAGCCATAGGATACTGTGGCACGTTACAACAAAAAAGAAGCCCAGTCATTTTTCGTCCGTAGGCCACATCCCTTTACTCGGATGCGTGGCTGAACCCTTTGGTCGATATGTCTTCCTTGGGGGGGGGGGGCGGCATCTATAACGCCAGACGTGTGCTACGGCCGCGCGCCGCATAGAAAGAAATGCCCGTGGCACTAGTCGAACTTGCCCATGGGCAGGTGTATCCAAAAACTCTACAATTAATTAGGCCTCGGCCATGACGACATAAAACCCTGAAATTCAAACTCGCCACCAAATTTTGAATTTGCTTATGTGGTGAAATGGGCCCTGGGCCCAGACAAAATGCGTGATCCCCCAAGCTGCCTGCCGGGAGCGGCACCTGACTGCCTACCTTGACTGCGATGGACAAGTGGCGGTCGCGAATGGCAAGCGGTCGGCGCCGCATGTGGAAGATAGTGGGACGAGGAGGGGATATGATCTCGAGAAAGCAGAATACCTGTTCGGGGCTGGGCCGGCTCGCGATCAGGGGCCAGGCTGCCGCGCCGGCTGTGCGCCCGAGATGAGCGGGCGGCACCTCCGAGGCTCCCCCACCAAAGCTCTGCTACCTGTATGAGTTTCGCTTCGGTCAGCCCTGCTTGCAAGTGAAGAGCACTCGGCGCTCGGAACGGAAGCACTCATAACCCTGGAGGAAAGAACACCATGAGGAGGGAGAGTAAGGGAAGGGCAGCCAGGGGAAGAACGAAGCCCCGAAGAGAAAGAGAAAGAGAAAGAGAACTCAGAACAAATTTCCGGGCAAAGGATCCAACCATAAGCAGCTTCGAGTATCGCGGGGCAGGTGAGAATGAGGGGGGGAGGGCAGGAAAAGGACTGCGGCGTTGTGTCGGTGAGAAAAGCCGTTAGGCTCGGGCGGGAATTTATTGTTTGGCGCAAGCCCCTGTGCGCCGCTGTTTCGTGCCCACTTCCTTCCCGCCCGTTTCACTCCTCTGCTTGAGACCAGGGTGCTGCGTTGCGTTCCTGCCCGCCTGGCCAGCGGTGGCCCGCACCCCAGGCCCCACCGTTTGGTATCCATTTCTTTTCTCGTGTTTCTCCCGTCTGTGTCCTTGCGCCCCGGTGACCGCGGCTCTGGGCAGCGCGCATTGGGGAGTCCCCAGGGCGAACTGATCGCCCCGAAGGAGTCCCAACGACGCGCGCGGCCTGTCCGCAGCACGGGGCAGAAAACACGAATGTCTGACAACGGGCAAGGCGCTCGGGCAGCTCCTGGCGGCACAGCGCAGGGGAACTCCCCGCGAGCCTATGGGGCCACGAAGTGCGTAGAGGGTGCGCCTTTGGTGTAGCTTCGTAGGGGGCCACGAAACGAAACGGGTATGCTGAAATATGCGGGGAACCGCATGCGAACCCTGCCACGGGCCTTCGGCGGAGCTCCCAATGTGGCCACGAAGCGTGGGGAGGGTGTGCCCAAATGGGTGTGGAGACGCATGCGAGACCTGCCACTATGGCTTTCGGTGGAGCTCCCTGTGATGCCACGAAACGTGTGAGGGGTGCATCGACATGGGCGGGGAGCAGTATGCGAAGTCTGCCACTTGGGCCTCCGGTGGAGCCTCTTAGTCTTGTGGGGCCACGAAGCGTGTGAGGGGCGTGCCGACATGGGCGGGGAACCGCATGCGAATCCTGCCACTGGGGCCTTAGTGGAGCTCTCTCTATCAGCATCTCCCTCTGCGGCGACGTGTTCATCTGTCTCACACCCTCTGCCCCCTGCACGTATGAAGGGCGGCCCGGCCCTATACCCTTGCATGCTCGTGATGCCGCGCGGTCAAGCATAAGTTCGATCGTCCATGTGCGCTTCAAGACACCGAGGGCTCTCACCAGGCAGGGCCATGGGACCCTCGTGCTTCCAGCAGGTGCTCATCGTTGTGCGAAGAATATTATGAGGGACTCGGGAAGGGAGTGTATCGCAGCACCAGTGGCGCTCCTCTGGTCCCTCCTTCTCCTCCTCCTCCTCCTCCTCCTCCTCCTCCTCTCCCTCCTCCTCTCCCTCCTCGCTTTCCGTTTGGGCGGAAGCGCGGGCGTTTGGGGTTAGTTCGCTTTGGTGGGCCTTGTTGTCGATGTCGGGATAGCCCTCATGGGGGCAGAGGAGCGCATCTTCTCCATCGAGGTTGTCTCCCAATCATCATGTGGATGTGGGTCCTCGATTTGAAGAGATCGCGGCCCGCGTCTTCCTCCCTTATCCTCTCCGCTTCTGCCCTCTGCATGTCAAACATGTCGGCGTACCCCTCACACCTCTCGTGGCCCCATAGGGAGCTCCACTGGAGGTCCCAATGGCAGGGTTCGCATGCGGCTCCCCGCCCATTTCGACACACCCAATGGCAAGGTTCGCATGCGGTTCCCCGCCCATGTCGGCACACTCCTCACACGTTCCGTGGCCCCACAGGGAGCTCCACCGAAGGCCCCAGTGGCCAGGTTCGCATGCAGTTCCCCGCCCATGTGGGCACACCCTTCCCGCGCTTCATGGCCACATTGGGAGCTCCGCCGAAGGCCTCATTGGCAGGGTTCGCATGCGGTTCCCCGCCCATGTCGGCACACCACTCACACGCTTGGTAGCCCCATAGGGATGTCCGTCGGAGGTCCCAGTGGCAGCATTCGCATATGGTTCTCCGCCCATTTTGACACACCTCACCCACGTTTCTCAGCCCCACAAGGAATTCCACCGAAGGCCTGTGGCAGGGTTCGCATGTGGCTTCCCGCCCATTTCGACACACCCAATGGCAGGATTCGCATGCGGTTCCCCGCCCATGTCTGCGTACTCCTCACACGTTCCGTGGCCCCACAAGGAATTCCACCGAAGGCCCCAGTGGCTGGGCTCGCATGCGGTTCCCCGCCCATTTCAGCATACCCCCTGCATGTTTCGTGGCCCCATAAGAAGCTCCAGCGAAGGCCCCAATGGCGAACTACGCATGCAGCTCCCCGCCCATGTCGGCATACCCCTCACACGTTTCGTGGCCCCAACGGGAGAAAAATAGTTAGCACGACATGGAAAACGAACCGCACTCCGTCCGCGCAACTGCTGGACATTTCGCCCCCGTTCCGGCCTCACTTCTGCTCCTCCTGCTCTTCCTCCTCCTCCTCCTCCTCATCCATCTTCTTTCCTTAGCAATAGCTCCTCCCCGTCGCGCCCCCAAGAAGTTGCAGTAGGGCGGGCCGGGCGTTTCGCACGAGACTTCTTCACTATCTATGATCCTGAAGCTTGACGTTCGCAACAACTTCACGCGTGGATGGCGGGTGGCTCTCGACATGTGCTTCTCGCTTCGGCGCTGCGCACACTCGTCTTACACTTCTGTTGCAATTGTACGGGTGGAGAGCGGTTCCTTTTCAAAGTGTGCCTTTCGCCTCGGCGCCTCGCACATTCGCTTCAACATTCTGCAAATTTTCACGGATGGAGGGGGGGCCGTTGTCAAAATGTGGCTCTCGCCGTGGCGCCGCGCGCGCTCGGAGTTTTTTTTGCTGTTTCAAATGTGCTCTCGCCACAGCACCGCGCAAATACACCCTGAACATTTGCACGTGCTTCACGGATGGACGGCGGTTCCTTTTCGAAGCGGAGCCCTTGCTCTCGCGCCGCGAGCGTTCATCTCAAAATCCTGCAACCGTGTCAACGACCGAGCCCGCGTCCTCCTCGGCACGGGCCCCTCGCCTCAGGCGCCGCGCGCCCTCGTTCTGCCAGTGCAGCGTTCGACAGGATGGAGGTCCGTGACTGCTCGAGCTGAGGTACTCGCTTGGGACTTCCTGTGCTCTGCAGGCCCGAAGCTGCAGCGCACGTGGCGCTGCGCGGGTCCAGGGCGGCTCTCCTGCGGGCGCGGCGCCGTGGCGGAGGACCTCCTCGACGTCAGGTGGCCGCACGCGCGGGCGCGCCCGTGCCACAACGAGCTGCACGGATGCAGGGGGCTGCCCTCTCTTCGACGCGGGAATCTCGGTCTTCGGGTGTTGCTAGAAGTGCCCCTGGCCCAAGGTGCCTCCAGGATTTCCAAGGAGGCCCCCACGGCCTCCAGAGCACCCCTCGCGAGGCCCAGAGGGCCCCAGGGCCTCCGAAAAGAAGCGAAAAGCTGGGACACCTTGGGCCAGGGGTACCTCTAGCACCCCCCGATCGGTGGACACCTCGTTGAACTGTATGTTCCCGGATTCCGCTGAGCCGTGCGCGGCAGCCGCCGCTGTCGGCTCTTTTCGCGCTGTGGCGCTTCTGCGCGGCGTGTCGTGCCGATGAGCGATCGAGGGTGTTCAGCGCGCGCGCTGGGCTGGAGAGTGGAGGAGGGATCGCGATACGAGTGCACCAGAAGCATGCGTGGCAAATCATTTTCAAAGCGGGCCCCTCGCCAAACTGGCAGGCCCAACCGTGCTGGCCTCTCAAGGGGGGGGGGGGGCGCTGCTTGCAGTGGCAAGGCCAACTTCTGGGGGCGCGTGGGGAGGGGGCTCGGGACGGGATGGTGTACTGCGACATCGCTGCTGCATTGTTTGTTTACTTCTGTTCTTCCTCTTCCTCCTTCTCCGCCGCTTTCTCCTGTCCATGGCTGGTAGTGCGATCGCCGAGCCAAACGCATCCAATGTTTTGGTCCATGGCCCTCACTCTCTCGAAACCTCCGTGAATCATCTTCCGCCTCTCCGTTGATTTTGGTGTGAGAGAAGTGGCGGCTGACGTAGGGCCGAAATATCTATGGTGGCGGTTGGAGCATAGACGAATACGTGTGTAAGTACACTGGGGATCTGCGCCTTACGACGGTGTGGTTGGCCCATCGTCCGCTGAAAGGCTACTGGGTTGTTGGATGCCGCCCGTTGCGGAACGCTTCCCACGGCAATGCAATCGTCTCCCCTCTCCGAGCTTTATGTAGTCAGTCAGCTAGCTCGGGCCACGACTGAAGATCGTTGAGTCTATTGCGATTGTTTGCCTGTGGTAAAAAAAACGCTCGTACAATTCTCCGCGCGAATCGGACATCCAGCATGCTGGACTTGTGGGTTGAGTATCGTGATGTGTTGCGCAGACGAGAGGGCTCCTGAAACGAGATCTGGACCGAGGGTCACCCAACCCAAGCACAGCGAGAACAGCTGTTTTGTTGTCTGATATTGATGTTTGTTTACGCTAGGCCGCGGATTGTTTCGCGGACTGGGCTGCCGAGCGAGGGCAGATTCCAGAATAGCTGGTTGAGCGTACGCTGCAAGCGGACGAACGTTCGAGCAAAATGCTCCGTCGCATCTGAGCTTTTCAGCGTGAAGTTCTGTTGCCTCGGACCGTGATCGCGCTGTACGAGTGCCACGGCACGTGCGGGGTTGTGCCACGAGTGAGTCTGAGCGTTTTTGTCGTTTGAGGGATGGAGGGCACAACCCTCAGCGCAGGAATGCGACTATCAGATGCAATGTATGCCGCTGCACTTTCAGTTTGCGAAGTAAGCTGCCAGAGTTCTGGCCTTCTGCCTGTAAACCTGGGACCTTCATTCAGCAGAGCATTCAAGCCCTCTCCAGAAGCGTTGAAAGTTGATAGTGCGTCGGGCTCCTGATTTGGGCTCCTCGGCCTCGTGTTGTACGGCTGCTTGTCACTCCATGGCTGAGTCCTGTCACCACTCGCATCGTTTTGGGACTCTGAGTGGGGTCATGTTTTGCCGAGGCATCAGCTTGCTGTGTGAACCTCCCACGAAAGCTGGGAAGGACATGCTCTCTCGCCTCCAAAGGGGGCTACCCCCACAAATCGGGCAGGATTTGTCCTGAATTGTGGTGAGGATATGTGCTTTGATTTGTTCGAATTTGGCTCGCGCAGCAGCGTGACGACACCGAAAGCATAATCTAATGAAATAGATTCTCCCCCTCATCCTCCAGCTGCCCGCCGCATCCGTTCTGGTAAACCCCTTTCGCGACAGGGAGCCACAATCACCAGTGGGCACGCCCGCATTTGCACCCGACGCTCTTTTTGGCACACACGCCAAGAGTTTCGCGACCCATGGAGAGAGAAAGAGTCCCAACTACGGCGCCAAAAGGGGCGCGCAGGCATTGTTTAAACGGTCCAGTGCTTCGTCAAATGAGCTCGCGGTCCTCCGTGCCAGTTTCCCTGGGGCCTCAGCCCAAACGCGGAGAGAACGCGGGGAGTTAACCCGCGGAAAGGGCGTTAACCCGCGGGGGTACACACATATATATATAGATATAAGAGAGAGAGAGAGAGAGAGAGAGAGAGAGAGAGAGAGAGAAAGAGAGAGAGAGAGAGAGGGAGGGAGAGAGAGAGGGAAGGAGAGAAAGAGAGAGAGAGAGAGAGAGAGAGAGAAAGAGAGAGAGAGAGAGAAAGCAGTGGCGTGCGCGCGGCAAGCCGCAACAGGACATCGCT